CAGACATGGGCAAAGCCATCTTGAGCACGCTAACAGCACAAGTTCCCAGCCAGGGCCAGCTCATTCCATCACTAACTCAGAGACTTGCTAAGCATTTGGAAACCTCAGAAAGGGAAAGCATTTTGGACAAACACATTTTCACTGCCTTGGTGGAGACAAAGGTACAGGGTTTTGTTCATACTTCCAGCACAGGCTCCAAGAGGCAGAAACACCTTCTGGGTTGCCCCTCAGAGACAGGACAGTGGTATGCACAGAACTGGGAAAGATGAGATGGACCTCAGAGCTCCCTGTGGGGACAGGGAGAGACATTTCTTCCCCAGGGTGGAGGCAGCAGCTTGCAGGGGAAGAATAAACGACTGGCTGGTTACCTGAGGATGAAGCTGTGGTTTATCACACGTGGCCTCAAAATCCAACACTAGAAAGTAGTGATATCTTTGTGGGGGGAAGGATGACATTGCTGCCATGGAAGCGCCGAAGCCGTGGGACGCCAGTTTCCTGCTTGTGGTGGAACCGGATTTCTTGAGAATGCCAACCGAGAGGAAGAAGAGCAGAAGTCTCAACCCTGGACGTAAGCTTGGGGGGAACCGTCTGCTCCAGTATGGAAGAGGGCTATCATTGAACATCCAGAGGCATCTGAAACTTAAGAGAACAAGAAGCTGGTGTTACTAAACCACGCACACATAATCAGACTTCTGCTGCCACCTCTCCAACCCAACCCAGAGCCAAGAGGTGTTGCCTGGGCTCCCTGGTAGAGGGCTCCAAAATAACATAGCAACCCATGGTAGGTACGTTGGAGAGCATCTGAGAGATTGCCTAGAGTCGCAGACAACTTGCAATGAACCTCTGTAACCAGCTCGAAATGAAGAGCCACGAGACAGTGGAGGTACTGCTCCACACAACAGACCACACATCCCCACACGGGCTCAACTTCACCCGGGTTAGAGAAAGCCACATAAACTACTTCAAGACGCAGGGAAGACGGGGATCCCAAGACCTGCCGATGCCTATGGAAAGGCCTGTAGTAGTGACACATATGCACAACTCCCAGTAATCCCCAGGTGATTCATACAACGAGACATGAACCCATCAAAATCAGCTCAACCCCGAAGAACCAGCAGCAGACACTGGCAGCTCCAAGAGTAGAGACTTCTTCTGTGCCCCAGGAGGAGGACTGTACCTTTTGCACTGGTTTAGTTTCTCAGTGCTTGAAGCTAAGCCTGGCCTCCCCCGGCAGGCACCCGGCATCTCCTGTGCCCATCGGAAAGCAGGAAGCACCCCAAGGTAGATGTGCCGCGTAAATCCTAGCCTTGCTGCATAACAAAACCCACTCAAAAAAGAAAGAAAAAAAAACCAAAACAAAAAACTAGAGGACGACCCGCCATGAGCAAAGCAGCTGTTTGCACAACAGGCAGCACTTGCTCTTTTGTACCCGCTAGTCCATCAGGTAAATAACGCACGTGCCAAAATACACACTTAATGAGGTAAATAATATGCCTTGAAGAACAGCTAAATCTGTATTTACCTGAGAGACCAGAGAAACTCGGACGGAGCAGATTAGGAGATAATTGCAGCTGAGCAGGTCGCGTGCCTCGGGTAAACACACATTTTGCAACCTTCTCTGGGAAGGGCGCTGGGTGGAGGAAAACCGCATGGGCATGCTGCAGACACTTGCCAAAGAAGCTGGGCAGTGTCAAACAGGCTCACTGCACACTACGTGGGACCAGCCGGCTGGCACATCCTTGCTTTTGCACTTGGGGGGGCAGAGGGACAAACACTAGATTAAAGCAACCTGGCAGGCAACAGGCGCCTGGAATGAAGCACCCAAGTTCCAAAAGCCAGAGCATGCTGCTGCCCTACAAGCCTAACATCATTTCAATCCCCGAGGTGCTCAGCAATACCCATCACTTTTCCATCTGCAGCTTTTATTGTCATTAATAAATGCATTACAGCCAAATAAGAGTTAGTTATCTTCACTGCTAACCTGTCCCAGATAACAGATATTTTAGGCATACGTGCTTTAAATCTTCAGAGCTGTCAGCTGCAGCTCTGAAGGTCTATCATGGCAGATAAAATATCTTGGAGTAAAGCAGCTAATCGTTGGCTGCAGTCTTTAGCCTACTGCGTAAAGGAAAACATGCAGCTGGGGGAAAGAGAGAGGCTACACTCCTCATGTCAAACACATCCAGTAAAGCGGACCGTTACCCACCTCTGCATCTCGAGATCAATATTTTGCTAGTGCCTTTTACCTGAGAGATGAAGCTAAGAACGGAGGAGAGACGTACACGGGGCGTTTCATGGACCCCCCTGACAGACGGCACCAAGCAGGAGCAATCCCACGGAGAACTTTTGCTTTCTATCTTTTGGGTGCAAGCATATTTTTATCTATGTGAATAGCCAGACACTGCTCTGGGTTTGCAGGTGTCCTGGGAAATGCCAGCAACTTCTTGCCTGGTGAGAGCAGAACAGAGCACAGGGGAGCTGCTGAGCAGACACGCTTTATTTAGAGGCATAAAGCATTTAGGGCTGGTACAAAGATGCAAATGATTAGTAATTATCTAGTGTTTATTCCGACATATGGCATTGGAGGAAGTCAGTCAAAATATGACTTTAAAAACCCTGTTCTAGCCAGACAACTTTTTATGCTGAATTACTTAATTTCCAACCCCAGTGTGATGCCATAAATGTCCCTTACACACGCTGGGTCGGATTATAACCTTGGAGACTGCAGATGGTCACATCTGGTACTCACTTCTACCAGGTGAACATTCGTATCAAACAGCTCCAATCCCTTACACAGATACATATGCAATGTAATAAGGCCATAAACTATGGCTGGACTTCACAAAGTATTTTGACAGATTGTACAAGGACACCAGAAAGCATGACACCATTGACATTTGCAACACCCAATGATGGGGGGAAAAACGCCACCATGCGTGGGGGTTACAGCTGTGAGATAAAGTTAAGTTTTATGTGCGGTCTATCACTCTTTGTGACACACAACTTTGTCGGCTGTCATCAGTAAATTCTCTCTGGCTAAAAACAGACAGCACAATTCTCCCAAGAGAAAAGCATTTGTCTGAGGATCCTACAAAGGTACAAGCCCACCCCGAGTACAGATGAGACATGCAAGATAAAATGTTCTAGTGCTTTTTCCAGGGCAATTGGGGCTCAGTTGAGTTAATTGCTATTCTTTCCAGGGACAAGCTATGGGACACGCAAAGAGCTGGGCTGCTATTTGTCCCAGGGTTTAACTCGGATCCATCAGAACCACCTCATATGCAACATCCGTTTTTATCCCCTTACAACATGCTAGCCCTTTAGACCAGTGGTTCTCAACCCTTTTAGACTAGAGACCCCCCCTTGGACAATACCAGCTTTTAGCTTTCATTCGTTTGTTCCCTATGGAAAAATAATTCTCCTGGTAGAAAGAAGTCGTCCAGGCCGCAACAAGTCAGCGTGGTTCTGACGCTGTGAATTCCCATTTGAAAACTCGGGTTTATCTTGTGAATCACACGTAAGGCTTTGTACACCCAACAGAGCTAACCCTGAATGGCACCCCACAGTACCTTTAAGAGGATCTCATGCAGAATCACAGAGTTTAGTCTAGCCACAGAATGGCAGGTGCCAGGTACAAAATAGGTTTGACTGGCACCTAGCCCACTTCTGCGTTCAAGCCAAAGCCAACTGCTAAGAGAGACCCCCACGTAGCAGCCAAACTGATGGCAAACCAGCAGTGTGGGGAGAGCAGTGCCTGCCACCACGGGAACAGGGCACTTCTAGCATCCTCGAGATGTGGAGGAAACAACCCAACTCCAGAGGGACATGGAGAGCGCATGCTTGCCTCAGGATTGAGCGGGGATGAATGGCACTCAAGTTCACAACTTATCTATGAACCACAGAGGCAAGCTCTCCACAAAGTCGTGGCTTTACAGGCTCTCTGCACATAACACTAATCTTAATTTTTACAAACAAATGACATTAAAAGCAATCAAAGCTGTCCAGGAACAAAGTATATTTCAAAAGCCTGTTTTCAACCCCTAAAAGAAAGACAGAAGTTATTGCTCAGGCAGATGAACTGGCATGACACTGTGAGGAAGGAGAAGAGAAGAGAGAGTAAAACATACACTTGAGCGAAGGCTACACCACAGCAGCCACAAGAACTACCGTGCTGAGTTTGAGCAAAGGTCCGTCTAGTGTGGTACCCTAAAGAGACCACACCGATGGCCCAAGAACGGTCACGCCGCAGTCAGCAATTGCCAGGCAAACATGGGCTCACACCCATCTCCAAGACCACCAGAAATGTCTCCCTATATTAAGTCAAATCTATTAAGAAGGGAGGGGGGAAACACCCACAGAAGGGTTTCCTCGCAGCATCTACCATTCAAACATTTCAAGACCTACCTAAAGTACGAAAATGAAGGAGTCGGAAGAACAAGCTAACCCACCGTTGCTGCCCAGCCTCATAAAACACATACAAACAGCAAGGCACGGGGTAGAATACTGTTTTAATAACTTCAGGTGGTTTTAGACAGGCAAACTGGTTTATTTAATAGATCTGCTTGACAGCAGCATCCTTTTAACAATAGGCCAATAAACTCTTTAATAAATTCTCTACATTTTTGGTTGGGTTTGTTTGTGGCAGCATTAGGCAACCAAACCCATGTTCTGGGAAACATCTTGCGTCAAAGCCTTCCCCTGAAATACGTGCAGGGCCTTCCTGGCATTACTCATCCCCAACACAACGGGGTACAAACTGCTTGTGTGTACAGCCCTTCAAGGGGTGTGCAGCCCCCTCGCAGCTCAAGGGAGGAGACCTGGCCTGTGCTGCAGGCTGCTCCCACAGTAGAGTGCATCACAATTCAGCAGCGGAGGGTGACAGCAATGGGCGGGGGTCAAGGCTGAGGGTTACAGCAGTAAGATCACATGGTCACTTGCTCCAGGGATGTGGACAACTTGGTAGCAAAATTACAAGAACACATGTTCTTGTTGACTCACCATGTGTGGGCACCGTGGAAGAAGTAAGGTAAGGAGGGATAGACAGGGAGGGCACGCAGAGGAAGGAAGCTTTCTCCCAGCTCATAAGCTCGTTCCTTCTGCCACCCTCCTTCATGCCAAACCACTTCAGAGAGCATCAGAATTGCATCCCGAGCTGCCACAGACCCCAGGGCTGGCGAGATCAGAAAGACGCAGGAGGAGGCGGCAGGAGTACTTCCTCTGGCCACTGCATCTTGACAACCCAAGGTGCCAGGAAAGGACAAGACCTCAGCGTGCTGGGCTGCAGCGAAACTGAAACAAGATGCAATGCTGATAAGACCACACATAGCCTTCCCAAAGACACCAAACACCTACTCTGGATTGAGGAAGGCCGCTCACTTCCACTGGCTCCAGGAGTGGTCTCCTAGGACTGCTTTTACTGAGCTGATGGACAGATGGATCTCAATCTGAAGCCTGCAGAACTGGCTCGACGGCAAGAATGTAGAGAGGGGAGAAAATGCTGCTGGATGGGAGCAGACAACGGCTTGTGACGATATAGTGGCAGAATGAACTGATAACCTCAACGCACTATGTGGAGAAAGGCAACGTACTTGTTCAGTTATGGTCTTAGGTTTACAGCAGTTCAGGCTTGAATGGTCCTGGAAATCATAGGTTTTCACAGATTTTAGGGCCAGAAGGGACCTATTAGATAGTTTCATAGTAGCTAGAGTCAGGAGGGACCTGAACAGATCATCTAGCCTGACCCCCTGCCACAGGCAGGAATGAATGCTGGGTTCACAAGACCCCAGAAAGGTGATCGTCCAACCTCCTCTTGAATTTGCCCAAGGTAGGGGTGAGGACCACTTCCCTGGGAAGTTGGTTCCAGATTTTGGCCACCATAACTGTAAAATATTGCCTTCTGCTGGGGGGTGAGATGACCCCAGCCAGGTGTTTGTCCAATCTCCTCTTAAATACCTCCAAGGAAGGGGATCATCTACTCTGACTTTTCTCTATCACGTATTTCACCCAGTGCCCCTGCCCTCGTGTTCAGCTAAGTCATCCTCCAGGACACCTAGTCTGGATCTGAAGACATCAAAAAATGGAGAATCCACCCCTTCCCCTGTAGTTTCTTCCAATGGTTAGTCACCACCACTGCTAAAAAAGCTATGGCTTCTTATTCATTTCAATGCGTCCTCATCCTTGGGCTGGGTTTATAATTTAGGGCCATATGTTACCCCCAATCTTCAGAAGAGTACCCCTCCAACAGCAGGGGAGATCAGGCATAACAACACCCCCAGGCAGCAAAGTTACTGCTGCATGTAGCTTAATTTAAGGCAAAGGGAATATGCCAGGAGCTCCCAAACCCACAGCTTGCTGTCTTTAGTTTACTCAGTACTTGGCATGGGAAAGTACCCAGCTTTCACATACAAGTGCCACGGTGGTGCCAACTGGGTGCCAGACTCAGTCCACACTGCAAAATTTTGCCAGCAAGAC